ATTCATTTAGACCAACTGTGAATCCAACATGTTCTGTTAGTTAAGTAGTCGATTACCATGTTTTGGATGTTTAACCATTGGTTATGAATTTTCTCTGTCCCTATTTTTGGCTCACATAGGCTGAGCTGTGACAGGTTCCACCAGACTGGGCATTTCATTGTGTCTGGATGGAAGGGTCGTTCATGGGGGGGCTTATCTCTGACCTTCTGTAACAACTTGGGTTAGGCCAAGGATTAAGGGGGGGATTTGCCTACTGTGGGTCACCTCAGCTCCTCTCGGGCCGACTGTCCAGGGTTGGTGGAAGTGTCACAGTTCGGAGCAACCTTCCAAATTATATTTTTTTTTATTCTCATAGGGACTTCGGGTATTAGTTTTTTAACGGTATCCTTTCAGCTTGGTTTGCGCTTTAGCTCACCTTCCTTTGTTAGGCGGGTCTTAGGAACTATCTCCTTTCTCTCTTTTATCTTATTTTATTATCTTTTCTTCCCTACCCGCCACTTGATCGTTTTCCATTTCGGTGTTCAGAGGCTACTTCCAGGTCATGCATGAACAAGGCCAGTAAACGAGGTGCCCCGCACTTAACCGGGTTTTACGCAATGCTGGCTCAACGTTTTACCCCAACATCTTTTATTGATTAATAAAATTATGTAAAACACTTTTTGTTTGTTGTTTATAAGTGTCCTGGGGGTCGCTGACGCACACCGATGGGGAGAACGATCAAGTTGTTTAATTGTTTGTTTTGTTATTTTTCATTTATTTTCTTTTAACTTTAGTAAGCAAGTTGCACCAGATAGGTGTTGGTTATTCTTATTATGGTGTTGAGCCTTGAGCTTTAAGTTGAATCACATTAATTTGTGAATTTTTTTTTCTGTACACCTTGCATTTTGCTTAGTCTCCTGATCTATCGATAATAGTAGTCACTTTTTTTTTGTAAGCTCACAAGTCGGATCGTCGGAAAAGTTCCTTTGTAACTTTCCCTCCTGTTGAAGGAGAGGGGGAGTTGTAACGTGCCAAAATTTACCTTTGTTTCTTTTAAATTTTATTCTGTAATGGGTACATATTCCTCTATTGAAGATTACTTTTGCAACAACGATTTTTACCATAATAATTAACAAGCAACACTTATTAATTAAAACGGCAGAGTTATTTATTTTGTAAACAAACATTTTCATACGTAACCTCAAAATTCGGTATTTAATTTGCCCTAATTTGCATTTAGTTACGGAGTGCCGCTCCTTGTGGTTTGGTGCAATGTTTTGGGTACCGTAGCACCGCTCCCTGTGATGTTTGTCCAGTTTTATTAGCAGCCAACTTCAGTCACGGCTATTTCACGCGGTTCGATGACAGTTAACCATAAGGATGTGCTCTGCTTGTCGATTTATTCATCGTTCGATTTTCTAACTTGTACTCAATCCATAAGGAAATACCTTATTTTCTTATTCATAAAGGTATCTGCCTAGTGTCAAAGTGTTGTTTGTTCGGTTATTGAATTCTAGTTTCCCTCCGAGTGAAGTGTAGTCGGAGTAATTTTCTTCATCGTTGTGGCTAAACCTGCCCATCTCTACTAGTAAATTGTCAACTTGGTAACTGACCTGTTGAATTTTGAGGTCTTTTCTACCTTGCATGGCGTAGGTGAAGGAGATAAAGGGTTATTTTTGATTTTACCCGTTTATGGGGATTTAAGCCCTTTGGTTCTCTATAAAAATTAAATTGTAGTAATTTATCTTTTGGTTCTACCTTACCTGACTTCTACAATTTAGACCGTTTTACGGATTTGAGCACCGTTCGTCTGGTAAGTCCAATTTGTACCTGTTATATGCACGTGGTTCCTTCTTCAACCCCTTTTTCTTTCAATAACTTTAGCTTGGTGATTTGATTTGGCCCTTACGACGATCTAAGGACTATTAGGAGACATTCCTGTTCCTGAACGTGTCCCACGTTTTGTTGAATAAGCAAGAAAACCCTGTTGCACAGGTAATTAAGTTTTTCATAGTTTCTTTTAAGGGGGCAATTTAATTCCAGTTCGCTGGAAATCTCTTTATTAATGACTGGAAAATAAAAGTAAATTCAAGAGTTCTCTTATATAACAGTTTTTCTTTCCTAGGGTTTTTTTTTTATGCTGAGGGTTCTCCTTTACTGGGTTTCTCAGTCAAGATTTCTACCTCCTTCCTACCAGTTCTTCGACTAACCCTTCAAATATCTGCCTTTATTCAGCGGCTCATGGCCTGAGTGTCTCCAATAAACAGTGACCGCAGGATCGAAGAACTTGATCTAGGATTGGTATCGTAGAAACCCTTTTACCGTACAAGTTTTTTTTTTGTTATGTAAACTCACATTCTTTAAATTTTCTTTATAAAATCATAATATCTAATCATTTTTTTTATATTTACCAAAACTCTTTTCTGGGTAATCCCGTTGTAAATTTTCAAGTAAATTTTATGGTCAATTTTATCAATTAAATTTTATGCTCAATTTTATTAAATATCCGTTTAATAACCGATTGTGTAGCTCAAGTTAGCGACTTACAAACATTCCAATTATTGATTAATCAAATCCCTACTTTGATTACCTTTCTCATTGAGTATAATTACTGTTTATAAATTTATAGCCTGGTATGTAAACCAAAGTGATCACCGAGGTATTAGAGTTACGAAGTTAGGTACTTTTGGTAATCAAGAAGACAAGGTAATTGATTGGTTTTTTTTGTAATTAAAAACTTTGATTTATATTTTGATAATCGTGGTACTATTTGTGGTTAAACAATTGAGCAACATTGAGTTGGTTGGTTTAATGATTTACTATTGATTATTGATTATTTTGCTGATTATTAATTACTTCATTATTAATTACTGATTATCAATTACTACATTTAGGTAGATCGATTAATTATTGACTGAATTGATAATAATATTTTTTTTTAGGATTCATTTTGTCCTTCTGTTTTTTTTTTTAAAGATTAAAAACAAGCTCTTGAATTTAATTAGTGTTTCATTTGGCTTCGCAAGCTTATACAATACTGGACAACGTTTTTTTATTAACTGCTTTCTCTTATAGTGTAATTGGGTTGGTGCGTTTCAGAAAACATCCTGAGGGATTCTGGCTATCCTGTCTGTCAGCCAGTGGCGCCCATAAATAAACCCACCCTACTCTCCAATAAATTTTCTGAGCTGGGGTTAATTTGCCGTGCTCTCAAGACACGCGTTGATCCAAAAGCACTTTTGTTCTTTATCAATTTAGGTTTCTTTTCTTTACAATTTTTTTTTTAATTTTTAAATTCATTTTAAACCAAGAGCGTGGCAAGTTTTTCAGGTTTGTTCTATCACCTTTCCTATTTATGTAAAATAATGGTTATGGATTCATTCCAGTAGTTAGGGATTCTTTTCTCATTCAGTATTTTATCAGGGGAGTATTACCAGTGACATTTCAATATTACCAATTTTTTTTCCACTGTATTTTGAAAAACTTCTGCTGTTATTCTGTCTTTTCAAGGTGCTTTGTTATTTTTCGTTTCTGTCAGTGCCCTCTTTATTTCAGAATTTCAGCTCGTAGTTCTGAGTTTACGTTCTGTATTTTAGTTTGGAGTTGTTTTATGATTCCCTCCGGTGATTCCTTCTCTGCTTGGTATAGTTTCGTATGAAATAGTTGTCTTACATTTATGATATTTTCTCTAATATTGTCTTTTATTTTATTTATTTCATATCTACATAGTGTCGGTCTTGGGCTATTTCATATTTCTGTTGTTTTCTATAACTTCCTATTTCTATTTTTCAGTTCCTTTTTTTTATTTCTTTGTGCGATTTCTTTTCCTACTTCAATCATGGTTTTTGCTAATGTATCGTTTATTTCATCGTTGTAGATTGTTACTTAATTGTTCAAAAAAAATTTATAACGATTTCGAAAGCTTGAGAAGATTGTTATAAAATTTTATAAAAGTTTTGAACATTCATCAATGTTCGAGGCTTATATGATCCATACGAATCGTTTCAGGAAAACTTGAGTAATATATCGTTTTATAAGTTCGAAGATTTTGAATCTAGGATTATATTTCAGATAAGGCTATCAAAAACCAATCTTATCATAGATTTGTTTTAAAGCTTCTAAACGCGGCGCCATTTTACGATGCATCAAGCATAATTTTCAATTCATTAAGTTTTCTTGAAGTGTTTCCGGCACTAAAAATTCGCCTCGTTGGAAAAATCAATTTTCCCTCTAGCTAAATAAGAAAAGCTCGAATAGGCAATAAAAACCTATATTGCCAAGCGAAACTGATTAAAGGCGCTACGCTGTCGAAAAATTGCAATCATATCGCTTAAAAAGTGTGATAAATTCTATTACTAATTTTTCAATTTGCGTTCTGCCCCATCCCCCATATATGGTAACACGATTGCGGCTTATTTTCGAAATCGAATCGGTATAGGGAATTTGTTGACGTCAGAGAAAAAGGATGCCTTGACATTAGATAAATAGATAGATAGAAATAAAAGAAATATAAGAAATAGAAATAGAATGAGAAAACCTATTTGAATCATAGTAGACTGGAGCCTAAACTTCGAGAAATTTGAAACACATAGAAATGCAAAATATCATTTCAAAGAAAGGAGATATTTAATATAGACATAGATAAAAACAAACTTTACTTTTACTCAAGTATTATCGAATTTGAACCTAGGGACTGCATGGGATTTCGACAATAACTCTCTCATCCATCAATATTCTTCTGAATATTTATTAATTTGACTTCATCAATAACCAATTTCCTATGCCATGAGACAACACTAATAACCTATACATTTTCAATACTCTCGCCCTTCCTTGTTTTTCCCTACTCATCCTATATATTCCACACCCTAGGGCTACTTCCTATTTCGATACATTTTCATTAGTTCTCCATAAAAATAATTACGCTTTTAGCACCTATATGTTTTCCTGTCTGGTTTCCTTCATCAAATGAAACGTTGTCTGGACAATGAAAAATAATGCATTCTCTATTTATTTTTTCAGTTACTTTTTGGGACTCAACTCTATCATTAAGAATCACAGACCTTTATGTTCCTTCAGGAGCGTCGCTCGAGGCACCGATGAACTGCAAATATGACTTGGAAGGAGAGCCTCTTTATGACGTTAAATGGTACAAAGATGACAAACAGTTTTTTGGTTGTAAGGCTGATGGTAGTGTCCAAGAGTTTCCTCTAGATGGAGTAAGTATTTCAACTAATGATTTTTTTAATTAGTGAAATTGTGATAAGTATATTTGTCAAAGTACAAAAAAAGCAAGTTAAAATAGTGAACTTCGTGTAGTGAAGAGAAAAACAAAATTGGAGCCAGAGGCTGTAAGTGATAATGATGATGTCAACATACCAGACTGTACCAGACTGACATACTCACTGACAAAATCACAGTTAGGTCCGTTCACGAATGAACTCTTAAATATAGCATTTTCCTCCTTGTTCATCAAAGACTAAACCTACAAGGGGGTTTAACAAATGTTCCCGAACGAGTATGTATTCTTGAGGAACCTGAAACAGGACTATGTTCCTGAATATGACTTCCATTATTTGGTTGGAGTGTTGTCTCAGCCTCCCTAACAGGAGGATTACAACTGACACTATCTGGTCAATAAGTTATGGGTTCTGAAAATATAGTCCTCTTTTGGAGAGGGAGGTGCAAGACATTCGTTAGGTAGTACGCTTTGCTACTGAACACTGATATTTGACGTCGTGATTTTCATCGCACTTTCACTATACCTGTCACTGGGTTCTGTAAGCATGGCAGCTTGATTTGAGTGCAACCAATCAGAATGCACAAGTTTTATACAATTTTTTACCTTAACAAGATATGTACAAAAACTAAGTACCTTTACAACAACTCCCTTCGGCCACAACTTTTTCTGTTTGTTCTCAACAAATACATACTTGACATTTTCTTAGATCTCATTTTAAAAGTACATTCAGCGGGCGAGCTCCCTGTCACAGTAGAAGGAATTCTTCTATAATTGAATAAAAAGTTTTGCAATTTATAACGAATTGTGTTTTTTCCATGACTATTAGAGAATTCGTCCATTCCGACTTAATTTCTAATTGCGGAATATCTTAATTCCATCACTAGTGAAATAATATAATTCCATCACTTGTTATGGAATGAGTAGGTAAAGTCAATGAGTAATATCGACGATTTGTACTAAGTGCTAGAGCAGAAGTGCAGCACAATTATTGTAGTTTACAGCCTTTGTGAAGAAATAAACATGGAAAATAAAAAACACTATTTGACAACGTTTGACATATTGTCAACAAATAAAAATATGAAATGACAACATACGCTCACATGTGTTCAATGTTCATGTCACACTCACATTGGTTGTTTGCTAAGCACCCCTAAGGCAAAAATTAGTACGCCCATTCGGCATCCCACCATAGCACTACCTACAGTGGCACTACCTAACACAAATATAAAAAATTAGTACAACCAAATTATTATTTTTTTTTGCAATTTTTGTACTTACTTACGTCAACGATGACGTCATAATTTAGAAAAAAGTATTTGTTGATTAATTCATAGAGCACGTTCGCAATTATTATTCTTATGGAATAAAAATTATCAACTGGGGCCAATATTGAAATATTACCTTAAAATCAAGACTTACCCTAAAATATAGGATGTTTATGTTATATTTAGAATAACGTCATCGAACAAGGTCAGACAATGTTGTCAATGTCTATATTTATTCTATATTTTACGGTGACATTGAAATACAGGCCTTAAAAAATCACTGGAGTCCCAAATATATAAATTAATTAACTGCGTATTATACAGGGTGTTCCTAAATATCGTGTACAAACGGCAAAGCGTGATTCATTGTTTTTTTTTTATGACTGAAATTTCAAATACAGTGAGGACATAAAGTCCGTCGCCCCCCCTCTAACTTTTGAACCGCTCGGTATATTGCAACGAAATTTGGAATGATGATATGTGACTAGATTCTCCATTTTTTGGAAAACAAATGACAGCTTCAGCTGTCAAAATGACAGCTAGGCGCAGTTTTGAAACGTTTTTTAAAATAGAAGGCAGTATCGAATGATATATCGTTTTGAAGGTCTCTTTATTCTAAATTTAATCCCCGATTCTGAAAACATTTGGTTTAGCTGTTTTCGAATGATGACGAAAAAACCAAGGCTTGTTTTGCTCATAAACACTCATAAAAAATAATTAAATTTTTTTTTATCGGTTTTGTTATTCATTATCTAAGTTACCAATGTCATGACGTCATTTTTATTACTGAAAAAAAGACACTAATGAATAAAAACGCAATAAAAATTTTTTAAATATTTTTTTCATGAGTGTTTATGAGCAAAACAAGCCTTTGTTTTTCCGTCATCATTTGAAAACCGCTAAACCAAATGTTCTCAGAATCAGGAATTAAATTAGGAATAAAGAAACCTTTAAAACGATGTATCATTCGACACCGCCTTCTATTTAAAAAAACGTTCCAAAACTACACCTAGCTGTCATTTTGACAGCTGAAGCTGTCATTTGATTTTCGAAACATGGAGAATCTAGTCACATATCCTCATTCAAAATTTCGTTGCAATATACCGAGCGGGTCAAAAGTTAGAGGGGGGGCGACGGACTTTATGTCCTCACTGTATATTCTAGAAAATTGACTTATTTAGACAAAATTCACCCTCTTATATTTTAATTTTTTTCTGAAAAACTGGCGAAGGGAAAATTTTAAAAATTTTCCAGGAATAAGAGAAAAATGAGGAGCTTATTTCACGAAAATTTCAAAATTTTCCAGTTAAAAATCACCCCAGGAAAAATTTTGGAAAACTAACTTTTTTAAGGAAAATGAAGAAGAATTCACCCTCTTACTTTTTAATTTTTTTCTAGAAATTTGGCAAAAAAAAAATTGTGAAATTTTTCCAGAAGAAAGAGAAAAGTGAGGAGCTCATTATAAAATAATTTCAAAATTTTCCAGTGGAAAATCACTCCAGGAAAAATTCTGGGAAATTGACTTTTTTAGGCAAAATTCACCCTCTTACATTTTAATTTTTGTCTGGGAAACTCGCAGAAGGAAAATTGTGAAAATTTTCCAGAGAAAAGAGGAAAGTAAAGGGCTCATTATAGCAAAATTTTAAAATTTTCCAATGAAAAATCACTCCATAAAAAATTCTGGAAAATTGACTTTTTCAAGTAATATTAAAGAAAATTCATCCTCTCACATTTCAATTTTTTTCTGGAAAACTGGCAAAAGAGGAAAAAGGGGAAAGTCAAAAGAGAGATAGAAGATTTCAAAGTTTTCCAATGGAAAATCGCTCCAGGAAAAGTTCTGAAAAAAATGACTTTTTCAAGTAAAATTAAGAAAAACTCATCCTCTCACATTTCAATTTATTCCTGAAAAACTAATAAAGCAAAACTTGTGAAATTGTTCCAGGAGAAAGAAGAAAATGAGGAGCTCATTATAGGAAAATTTCGAAATTTTCAAGTGAAAAATCACTCCAGGAAAAATTCTGGAAAATTGACTTTTTCAAGTAAAAATAGGAAAAATTCATCCTCTCACATTTCAGTTTGTTTTCTGGAAAACTGGCAAAGAAAAAATTGTGAAATTTTTCAAGGAGAAAAGGGTGAGTGAGCAGCTCATTATAGGAAAATTTCAAGATTTTCCAGTGAGAAATCACTACAGGAAAAATTTTCTGGAATATTGACTTTTTCAAGTAAAATTAAGGAAAATTCATCCTCTCAATTTCAATTTTTTTCTGGAAAACTGAAAAAAGGAAAATTTTTAAAATTTTCTAGAAAAAAGAGGAAAGTAAGCTCATTATAAGAAAATTTCAAAATTTTCCAGTGAAAAATCATTCCAGGAAAAATTCTGGAATATTGACTTTTTCAAGGGAAATTATGGAAAATTCATCCTCTCACATTTCAATTTTTTTCTGGAAAACTGGGAAGGAAAGATTGTGAAATTTTTCCAAGACAAAGAAGAAAATGGGGAGCTCATTATAGCATAATTTCAAAATTTTCCAGTGAAAATTAGAAAATTGACTTACTTATTTAGGCAAAATTAGGGAAAATTCACCCTCTTACATTTTAATTTTTTTTCTGGAAAACTGGCGAAGGAAAAATTTTGAAAATTTTCCAGGAAAAAGAAGAAAGTGAGAAGCTCATTATGGGAAAATTTCAAAATTTTCCAGTGAAAAATCAGTCCAGGAAAAATTCTAAAAAACTGATTCTTCCAAGTAAAATTAAGGAAAATTCATCCTGTCATATTTCAATTTTTTTCTGGAAAACTGACAAAGTAAAAACTGTGGAATTTTTCCAGGAGAAAGAAGAAAGTGAGGAGCTCATTATAAGAAAATTTCAAAATTTTCCAGTGGAAAATCATTACAGGAAAAATTCTGGAAAATTGACGTTTTTAAGCATAATTCATTTTCTTACTTTTTACTTTTTTTCTAAAAAACTGGCAGAAGGAAAATAGTGAAAATTTTCCAGAAAAAAGAGGAAAGCGAGCAGTTCATTATAGCAAATTTTCTAAGTTTTTCAGTGAAAAATCACTCGAGGAAAAATTCTGGAAAATTGACTTATTTAAGCAAAATTAAGGAAAATTCATCCTCTCACATATTAATTTTTTTCTGGAAAACTAGCAGAGGGAAAATTTTTCAGGAAAAAGATAAAAGTAGGGAGCTTATTATAGGAAAATTTAAAAATTTTCCAGTGAAAAATCACTCCAGGAAAAATTCTGGAATATTGACTTTTCCAAGGAAAATTTATTCTCTCACATTTCAATTTTTTTCTGGAAAACTGACAAAAGGAAAATTTTGAAAATTTTCTAGTGGAAAATCACTCCAGGAAAAGTTCTGGATAATTGATTTTTTTAAGTTAAATTAAGGAAGATTCATTCTCTCACATTCAATTTTTTTTTTTTGGAAAACTAACAAAGAGAAAATTTTCCAGGAAAAAGTGAGGAGCTTATTATTAAAAAAATTCAAAATTTTCCAGTGGAAAATCACTCCAGAAAAAATTTTGGAAAATTAACTTTTTCAAGTAAAATTAAGAAAAATTCATTCTCTCACATTTCAATTTGTGAAATTTTTCCAGGAGAAAGAAAAAAATGGGGAGCTTATAGCATAATTTCAAAATTTTCCAGTGAAAAATCACTCCAGAAAAAATTCTGGAAAATTGATTTATTTAAGCAAAATTAAGGAAA